AAGTAATAAGTAGGAAAAGTACTTAGAATAAAGTGTGCAGAACTTATCCTCCTCGGGCGCATTGGTCTCCTTATATAGTATTCTTCCCGCTTGTAGTCATGTGACCCAAAGTGGTCACATGTGCAAAACCAAATCATAACCAACTAGTCATGTGACCAAAATGGTCACATGCTTAAAACTCATGACCTCATAGCAAGGTCATGTGCAAAAACTCATAAACTAATCATAACATAATAAACAAATCATATGACTCAACTGAGTCATATGTATGAAACCCATGACCTCATAACGAGGTCATGTGCGAAACATAAATCATATGTGCAAGGCATACCCGCAAGACACACTCACAAGGCATACTCGTCAGGCACACGTCCCTTAACTCATATTTGAGCCATGTGCAAAAGCATCACAAATCCCATATATAACAAACATAGGACTTGAATGAGTCATATGTGTAAAACAATAACATACCTGTGACTCATAACCATGTGTCCCATGAAAACCTTTTCCTCGCCAAGCCACATTTGTGACAAGGGGATTCTTTACTCTGATACCTACAATTTCGATGAGACTGAGTTTAGAATAAGGATCGGATATGACTAGTGGGTGGTCATCTAGGACTCGCAGCAGCCTCTCTTTATTGCAAGTTCAAATGTGAGAGGGCTGGCTACTGTAATTAAATGTGTTGGTGGTAATAGTGCTGTCTTGCTCACAATGTTAGTGGTACCAGGAGTACTCCATATGGAGGACTGGAATATAAAAATCAATATTCCAGACTCCTTTCTTGTTGGAGTATCCAATACTGAATACTCTAACTATAAGACTGCATAGGAGTAGATCAACAACTTTGAGTGGTTTTCAGCTTCACATCAAGTGGGAGCCTGGAGACTACTTGTCCTCGACAGGTACAACTCCCACTGTACCTGCAAATTTATCACCTTCTGTAATAATCACAAAATTATTCCCTTTTGCCTTCCTCCGCATTGCACACATCTTTTACAGCCACTTGATATAGTAGTTTTACAACAGTATAAACATTATTATGAGGAGGCTTTAGAGTGTTAGTAGTGCTACTAGAACTAGATGTACAGAGTTTAACGAAATCGAATTCTTCAATGCAACTGAGTAAATTCAAATCCAAACATTTAAACCTACTACTATTATCTCTGCCCCCAAGAAAGCTGGTCTTATATCATTCAACTCAGCAATCATTCTTAGCAAACTACCTCCAGCGCTCATAGTCAATTCTCCATTCCCACAAACCCCACCTCAGCAAACTCCATGCCTGGAATCCCTATCCCTCACTCTATAGCTTGAAGATCAGTGTCTTCAATCTATGCCAAAGACTATGTGGTCGCTTAAGCGCTATACGGACTCACTTCTAACTGAGATTGAATCCCTTTTACCCTCTGTTAGCAATAGTTTCCAGAAATATTTGAAAGGAAGCTTATCTCGAGCACAGAGTGGAGGACTTGCCTTAGTAGACCTTCAAATCACCAAAGCAGCAGAACTAGCATGTGCTGCATAGTAGAAACATTCCCGGTGATCTCTGTAAAAGGATGGTGTACTTTACACTAGTGAAGCTCAAGCGATGGTTCATCAGAAAGTGGAGTACAGGGCGGAGAAGGAGCTTTGGAAGGCTCAGTGGATTTTGGAGAATATACAGAAGTCAGCAGAGAACAAGAGTAAAAAAACAGTGGAAAGAAATTTGTAACAGATGTGCAAGGTAGTAAAAGAGAGAAGTAAACAACAAAATCTTCAAGGTATTCGTGGTCGTGAAATTGGATATTTTATTTGTAGTATTTAAGAAATCTATCGTTGAGCTGTTACTATCCCTTCATTCATGCCCGAATTTCAGAACCTTTTAGCACTAGCTTGGCCAGAGATCAACAAAATACTAGACATATGCAGGAAATCCTCGCCACCTACACTAAGCCTAAGATATTTGTATACTAACTAGAGTGGGCATGATGGAGCTAGTAAATGTGGCAGTGTAAGTACTCAAGTACTTTGTCATACTCAGTAGTATAGTAACATGTGATAAAATACTGTGCTAGAAGAGTGAGATTAAAACTTGAAGTTTGTTGTTTCAATTTCAGATGTAATTTGTTCGTAGAAGCCTGAGAGCTAAATATCCAACTCAGGATACATGCGCATACAATAGGAAAGACAGAGAGAAACTTTGTAAAAAGAACACTGGAAAGAAGTATGATGAACATTTCCAAGAATTGGTGCATTGTAGCTAGATTGGGAAACTTGAAAAGAAGTACTAGTAGGATATGAGGGGGGAAATGGGTTGGCATTTTGAGTCTATAGAATAGTTAACATACAAAGAATATTGCTAATTGAGGAGAAGGACTTAGAAGAATACCTCATATCTGAAATTGGAGGAAATGGGTACAGTTATTATAGAAGAAGGATGGAGTTCAAGATGCTTGACTAAGTAGTGGCAGAAGAGACAAAGTTACTTTCGTCCATGTTAAATTTGGTGATTACCAAGTGATTTTCCTCAAGGATCAAGATCATAG